CAAAATGTTGAAGCGAAATAAAAAATATTTAGTACGTAGGTAGAGACATAGTATGTATGTCAATGTACAGTCTCAGTTTCTTCACGTTTGGTTTTTCTATCTCTTGTACTTTTCGAGATTGTTGCGTTCATACAGACAGACGGACGGAACCGCCAAGCGGCGTTTTGATAATATCTTTCCTACAGTTTGATGAATGACTTCACCTAGGGTAGATAGAAAGATGCTCTGCACATGAATTCGTTTAGTTTTACACGAGATATATATCGTGTATATAAAATACACTTTTACCACCCTTTATGTAGACTCTCTTAATGCCGCTGCAGTACAAATTTTGTTATCTCTCCCTAATCCAAAGCTTTACAAGTTTAGGTAGGTTTAGGTATAGGTTTAGGTAGACCTAAACAATCGAAGCTACTAAAGTTTGAGCTCGTAATTTTTATGTAATTCTTCTCCCAAAAAAATTAAATTAGGATTAAATAATGCACGATGTGTTTAAATAATAATTTATGCATATAATCAATAAAAAAACTCCATTTCCATTTTAAGGCGAAATAGTGCGCCATAAATTTACGTCATATTGCACCATTTTTTTTAGGGGGGCATAATTTTAGAGCTACCATGAGGTGTCATAGAACTGTTGTGCTATAAAATGAGATTTTGTATCAAATATTTTTTGCTTATGAAGATCTATGAAGCTTACGGTATTGCATCGCTTGTGAGTCGCGAGAAATAAAGCTTTTGCTTTACAAATGTAGGGGAAAGGGTATAATAATAAGTACTAGTGCGATTGTAAACAACTATCTTCTATGCTGATTGATTTGTTTTTATTTGCTGATCACAAAAATTATCAATGATACATTTAAATTTTATATGATGCAGATTAAATAAGTAGTTTATTGGATGGAAGTTAAGCTGGGACAGAATTTAATAATAATCATGCGTTTCTTTGTTCATTTAAAAAAGAGTCATCGAATGGGTTCCAACGCACGATAATTTCAACGACGTGCCAGCCTATTTCCGTTGACTACATTTTTGCGCCATTACTAGGCTATCTCTGTGAACGATATACCGATTTATTTACATTTCTCGAACTGCCAGATGTTTTCGCCTCTCAGCACGGGACTTTATTCTGAGGAATCCAGCAGGTGCTGCAGAGATCTAATGACGAACAGATCTCAGCAGAAAGATGCAGATTCATGTGCTCGTACGTTTATACTTCATTATAGGTATGCGGGCAAAAATGGTCAGGCCATAGTTTGGTTTTATATCGCAACTCAAGTTCGCCATGATATAATTCTCCTACATTCCCATTGCCCCATGTCAATTGTGCTATATAGCCTTGCATGCTCCACTTGATCTTGTCGCATGAAATCTGCGTCTGCTGCGTTTTCGTTGGCGTCTGTGCCAGGGCCTGGAAGTCGGCGTCGCGCTTCTTGCTTGGTCATATTATCCCGATTCGTGCTTTCGATCTGTGTGCCCTGGACGTTCGTGGGCCGCTTGGTGGGTCTGCGGGGCTTTGAGACAGCAGACGGTGCAGTCAACGGCGCATTTACCTAAATTGGAATTTCCGGTAAACCGTAATGAAAATCGTAGCAATGAAACCGAAAAAACACACTCATATGTATATAAGTAGTATGCATTCGCATATGTATGAGTGAAATGTACAACGAACTGAGGCCTGTTGAAAGGCACACACCAGCAGCACATTGATATGCAAATGAATGTCACCATCTCCTCTCGAATGAAATAATCGTCTTAAACGAGCTCTGCGCTCGACTTAATTGCTTTGCTCCAAAGCTTCCAATTCGGCCACTCTCAAAGCACAAATGGGGGAGAATGAACCAAGTTTTATTTCGCGATGCCTACAATATACGAATGTTGAGCCGCTTTCAAGTCAAACACTAGCCATTTGCCTTTTCGTAGTTGAGAACCACAACATTTATAAAATTTTATATAATCTCGGGGCCGCGAGTCGCCACTAGAGATGGGCATGGGCCGGCTATGTTCGGCCCGACACGACACGGCCACGAAATGAACTTTTGGAAGCACGCGCACGCACGACGAACATATTTCTAAACACGGCCCAACACGAACATGTTATAACCATTAAATGTAAGAGCGAAAAATATATCCAGCACTTCCAATTTGTAATAGAGAATACGTACTCATCTATATTTGAGCTAAGGAGCCGAACTCGTAGCTTATTTATAATTTCTCCAGAAGTGGAAAAACTCGTTCACTTGTTTGAAAAACTGTCAGGGATATTGACATTGACTTAGCAATTCCACATATTTATGACTTTTCCCAGTACTTTAACACACAAATTCCTGGATCAACAGCACTACATATATAGTTATATATTTCAAAATCTATTCTTGACCTGCCCAGAAAATTTAATTGCATTATTAGTGTCCAAAAATTAAGAAAAGTCGTGTTGACTGAAAAATGAAAAGGCAAAACAGGCAGAAGGAGGCGGTTTATTTTTTTTCGTGCTATACTTGTATTCGGTTTTTTGTGTTTGCTCGTGCGTGTTTTGTCGTGCCTTTTTAGCTCAACACGAACACTCACGGCCACGAACGAAAACAGAATTTGCAACACGAATACGCGGACCAACGCGAAACACGGCCCGTGTCCAACTCTAGTCGCCACTAACCCTATCAACTGATCCTGGTTCAGCACAAATATGAGGGTAACAGCTGCTTTTGCACTCTTTCTTCGATACTTAGTTAATGGCAGCAAAGCCCAGGCCGTTCTACTAATTTTTTTTTTTTTGAAAGTTCCTCATCCCAAGGGCAAAAGGGGTTTGTGAAATCGTTTAGTTTCTCTAACACACAGAATATTTCCCTTGATCTGACTGACAAGTACACTTATTTTAGACATAATCGTGATATTAGATATTATGATCTATAACAGCTGGACTGATTGGTAAAAAAATCACCCTTATTGGAGAACTTTTTCGTTTATAAAGAATGCATAGTGATAAATACTGTTATGCGAACAATAATATTTGATAATTAAATTAAATTAACTAAAAGAAACTGGCAAGTGCCCACATTCTTGACGACCGTATTTCAATGCTTGCCGCCAGAAGTACAAATTTTGATTCACCATATAGATAGATTAACTATTACAAGCACCTAATATGTATTCTTATTGTCGTACCATTTTTGTATAACAAAGCCCAAAAAATAAAACTGGAAACAATGTATGTACTTAAAAGAAATACTAAGATTATCCATACATTAAAAAACTAATACGAAGTTTCATATCGAATGGAGATGCGCTGTTTCAATATCGTCTCATCGAATTAAAATATGTTGCCTCATACTACATACGAGTATCTATAAATATAGCTAGTAATGTAAACAGAGATACTCTCTCGAGTATTTGAAGTTGAATCAGTGTGCATTTGTAAACATTTTTTTAAAGCATTTGCGTAATATGTATGTACATTAATATATATTTTAGGAAACAAATGTTTAGGAAACAAGCATTTAATTATTTCATTTTCAATGTTCATATTGCATTAGACATGAATATATTGATCGCATTCTGAAAGTGTAGTTCAATAACTTTCGATTGACATATTGTTCAACACCTTGTTGGGGTTTCCGCCACTACAGTGTTAGGTTTACATATAATAAGTAGATACATATTAAATATATTTTATTCGAGTAATATTCGAGTAATGTGTAATGCATTTTGTGCAGCAGTTGAACACATTCGAAATAAGTTTCCCAGCAGATTTCTAAATTTGAAAACCCTCCCATGCCATTCTTATAGTATACAACAGATGTTAGCCAAGATGAGAAATAAACTGATTCAATTTATTCACTACAAGATAATAAATCAAACAGTATATGTACATACATATAAATAGCAAAGCTCTTATAATCAACGCGATCTGTCAAGTACTGTGGGCAAAGGCTTTCTTGCGATACAACAAAATAATAAAACTACGGTTATCGACAAGGTTGTTACACGATTGGAATGTGCAGTGAGCACGTACATACATACATATATATAAATATATATATAAGTAGTATTCTTCGCTATAATTTGAAAAATGTGCGAGTGGGTAGAATTCGGAGGTGTTGATATGTGGCCCGAGTTGCGAAAGCGGCGCAGAGATCCAAAGACAAAGTCGAAGCACCTGTAAGAGCAACAAGTTCGCGTAGCCATTGCTACGCCACTGGAATATTAATTGCCTTATCATTAAGAAATATGTCAATAAAAATAGCCGAAGCCCCTCTGGATGAGTCGAGTGGCGAGAGAGCTGAAGGGCCGACTATAGCCCACAAAAAAAAGCATATACAACTTTTTATTGCTTGGGGCTTATTGATTTCAAGCGCCATTTGCGGATTCTGTGGCATTACAACAAGTGTTGTACTTAAAATAATTTTAATTGCTGCCTGCTTGGGGGGAGAGAACGGGTCGGAAGTTGTAAAATTGCAGAGCATAGGGCCGTCAGAGGTACTATACATATATAATTTAACAAAGTCGCACCGGCCCCGACAAACATCGGGAAGGAATGATGTAAACGTACATGGTTTATATTTTCAATATAACAATTAATATTCAGCCTGGCAACATTTTGGGCAACTGCAGGGCGGCCATGCAACGCTTCCGGCCACAATATCCGCCTGTTAGCTGCAACTTTTTAGTTCGGTGCACCTGAAAGCTGCGACTAGGCAAATGTTGGGAAAATGTTTGCTTCCGTTAGAAATAAATATATTTATAATATGGTACAGAAGGGGAATGGGCAGACATTTAGTATTCACTGCCGTTAGGCAGCCGTAAGTGTTCCCTCGCCCTCACACTTTTCATTTGGTACTTTAGTTTTAATTTTCCTCTTCCCTTTTTCGTCATAAAGTTGGTTGTGTTTGTATTTCTGTTGTTGCTGTGCCGCTTTGCCTCGCGCATAATTAATTTAAATTTTCATAATTGTCATGTTTCTCATGGGCATGAGCATGTGCGTCTCTATTTTCTATGTTTTGCAGCCGTTTAGACGAGTGTCCAAAAGTTCATTTCCGCCGGAAACGCCTTACAGAGCTTTGTCCGCAAACAAGTGCAAAGCCGCTGACCGGGTTCCACAAATGGAGATGCGAAACTAAATCTGAGCACTTCGTTTCTCAAAATTGAGTTAGTTAAGGTCGGAAACGAGGCTTGGATTTGCCTCCCAATAATCGACAATATGTCCATGGGTAAGTAAGATATGTTTGTATGAAATATGAAGAGTCTATATCTTAATTTCCATATACTTTCGCGGATTAAATTTTTTTTTTTTTTTTATAAAAAAATCAACAAATTTACTGTCAATAAATAATTGATAATATTAGAAAGTAAAATAAAGATATTTATAGTATTACATTATAAGTTAAACTTAAAAGATAAGAAAGCCTAAGGGAGAGCTATACAATGACGTCTATTAATGCCTCCGACACGTTGGGGGAATTTTATTTGCCAGTTGGCCAGCTATAAGTTATAAGTTATAAGTTATAAGTTATAAGTTAAACTTAAAAGATAAGAAAGCCTAAGGGAGAGCTATACAATGACGTCTATTAATGCCTCCGACACGTTGGGGGAATTTTATTTGCCAGTTGGCCAGCTATGCCCCGATTCACAGCCAAATGTGGTCAGAGACATTATAGACCTAACAAACTAAACAAATAGCAAGTAGAAGAGAAGAATTAATTCTACTTAAGAACTAATTAGAAAAAGTAAGGTGTAGAAAGAGGAAGAGGAAAAAGAAAAAAAATAAGGGGGAAAGAGAGATACAAAGACAGAGAAAGAGAAAGAGGTAAATCTCCAACCCGGTGGGGGAAAATTTAAATGCCAGTCCGGCTAGCTATGCCCCGACTCACAGCAGAAGTGGTCAGAGATTTTCCCGAAGATAATTATAAAGAATAATCTTTACAGAACAGAGAGAGAGTTCTGTCGAAAGTAAGTGTGAAAGATCATTATAATTACTGCAAATGACCCGAAAACGATTGTGCAAAGCGTAATCGGTTGTGCATCTAGCCAATATGAACGGCAAATAATTCCTTGTTGGTCTACAAGGAACTGAAAAATTAAGGCGACCTAAGAGGGCAGAGGAGTCAACCTCGCCGATAACTAACTTGTGGAGAAAAACTATTCCAAGAACAGTCCTACGATTTTCTAAAGATGGAAGGTTTATAAGTAATAGTCTACTTGAATACGATGGCATCAAAACATTAGGATCCCAGTTAAGTCCGCGTAAAGCAAAAAGCAAGAATTGCTTCTGAACAGATTCAATACGCTCCTGATACTTTCTATACTGTGGACACCAGACACAAGAGCAGTATTCAAGCACAGGGCGTACTAGAGACGTGTACAGAAGTTTGGTAGTATAAGGATCAGTAAATTCCTTGGACCATCGTTTAATGAATCCAAGTACACCCTTAGCTTTATTTACAATGCTAGAAATGTGAAGATTGAAGTTCAATTTGGAATCAAAAAGAACCCCAAGGTCTTCAACAGTCGATATACGCTGCAATGGCACATTGTCAATCGTATATGAGACTAAGAGGGGCAAAGTTCGATGAAAGGTCATGAACTTACATTTAGAGCAATTGAGGTACAAGCGGTTTACTATGCACCAAGATTGCATGCAGTTCAGATCATCCTGCAGGCGTTGAAAATGAAGAGGGTTTTTGTAAGATAGAATAAGTTTCACATCATCAGCATACATAAGTATATAAGAGTGTGACAAGATAGAGGGGAGGTCATTAATAAATAATGTAAAAAGTAAAGGGCCAAGATGACTACCTTGAGGCACACCTGATGATGCATAAACGGGCTTAGAGATATGCGACCTGAGCAAAATTCGTTGGGTCCTGTTTTTTAAATAGGACGAAATCCAACGCAACAAATCGGCAGGAAATCCTATGCGGCTAAGCTTAAAGAGCAGAAGGTCATGGTTAACAGAGTCAAATGCTTTACTGAAGTCAGTGTAAACGACATCAGTCTGCATTTTTAGAATAAATGCCTCATTTACCAAAGAAGTAAATTCCAGCAAATTGGTCGTAGTAGACCGTCTCTTAATAAAACCATGTTGAGCAGGAGATATGACAGATTTGCAAAGATGCTGCAAAGTGCCGCAAACTATTTTTTCAAATAATTTTGGTATAGCGGACAACTTTGCAATACCTCTGTAATTCGAAATATCAGACTTACCACCCTTTTTATATAAAGGAATTATAAAAGATTCTCTCCAAATAGCTGGAAAGATTGAAGAACTAAGCGACAGATTAAAAAGTTTAAGCAATGGTTGTAAAAGAGAACTAGAACATTCCTTGAGTACACAACTAGGAATGTTGTCTGCTCCAGGAGAGTACGAAGACTTCAAGGATTTGATAGCAGAAAGTAGACAACTATCAGAAATTATGGGAGCGTAAATAGTGTGGGAAGATGAAATGCTATAAGGATAAGAGGTATTACTAATAGAGACAGAGGAATAAGTTGACTGGAAGAAGTTGGCGAACAAGTCAGCAGCTTCAGAATCATTGCTGGCTTTCTTGTCACCAAGGAAAAATGATGAAGGTAGCGAAGCAGTTTTACGTTTAGAGTTAACGAACTTATAGAACTGTTTAGGGTCCTGTGCAAATTGTATCTTACATCGGGCAAGGTAATTATTATAACACCGTGAGTTAAGAAGGACAAAATTGGATTTCGCTATAGAGTATTTATAGAAGTCAATAGATAGGCCCGACTGCTTATACTTTTTAAAGCATCTAGATTTAACATTTTTTAAGTTTGAAAGTCTTGGCGAAAACCACGGAGGTTTTGATGACGCAGACGATATGACACAATTTGGGATACAGACATCAAAAAGAGCATTAATAGTGTCATAGAAAAACTTAACGGCTATGTTGATATCAACCGCACTATACAGAAAAGACCAATTAGTTGCTAAAATAAGTTCATTAAGCAAAGAAAAATTTCCTTTGTGAAAGCAACGACTTGTTTTATTAGAATTAAGTGTAGGAATTAAGGTGTGATTTGAAAATGATAGAGAGATTTCTAAAGTAGGGTGGTAAGTATCTTCAGGCACTGACAGGGGTGAAGACCTAGAGACAACTGCGCTACTAGGGTCAGTGACATAGACGAGATCAAGCATTCTACTAAGGTGATTATGTATAGGATTAATTTGAAACAAAGAAAGGTCCAACAGGCAATCCAAAAATTCATGGTCTGCAGAGGGCACCAAATAATTTGATTCATTGAGGTATGACCATTCTATGTTGGGCAAATTAAAATCACCTACCACAACAAACGCGTCGCTGTCACGAAGATGAGTAAAAATTTCTTTAATACAAGTTATATGTTGCATATAAACCTGAACATCAGAAGAGGGAGGTATGTACGAGCAAGTGATGTATAGAACAAAAGACGGAAAAGTTACTTTAACAGCAACAAATTCAACATCATTTGGCACATCTACATCAATGATTTCTGACCGAAGGTTGGATTTGACTGCAATCAGTACGCCTCCACCTCGACGACTCGGACGATCACGACGAAAGATACAAAAGTCATCTGATAAAATTTCGTTATCAAAAATCGTAGGGTTTAACCACGTTTCTGAAAACGCAATAATATTCGAATCGAAAGAAAAACTGCTCAAAAATAAATTGCCAAGCTTGGACAAAAGACCCCTAACATTCTGATACAGAATATTAAGCGAAAATGATCGCGAGCCTAGTTTTTTGAAGCCAAACTTGACGTTGGTTTCGAAGAAAGATTGGACTGTAAATCAACAGGCAGTGACGAAACTCGTTTTTTCTGCCTGAACTCATGAACAATCATATGTGGAGGCCAAAATTTTGGATCACATATAATTGTAAAAGCTTCCGGCGGAACACTTATTTTAAACGAGGCTATTTCACGGGGCTCAGCAAAACTAAACTTCGAAATAGACACACTAGCTGTCGATTTACTAGCAATATAGGCTGCTAAGGATTCACAAGTGGTATCAGAAGATAATCTAGATACAAAAACTTGTTTTCGGGGAGCTATCACAGTAAGAGACGGAGGCTGAGGAAGAGCTGGAATTGACGCACTTTCAGCAGTAACTGATGAAACTACAGGGGATAGTGCAGGGGATTTGGCAGGGGATTTGGCAGTGCAAGCTTTTTTAGAAGATTTTTTAGAAGCTTTCGAGGCAACTGCTGACTTGCTTACTGCAGGAGGTTCCATTAATGGGGCTACTGCGACTTCAGCAGGAGAAGGCATAGGGGAAATTTCAAACAAATTTCCAGGGGAAGCAGACAACGAGATTACCGGCGATAACTCGAGATGCCCTGGTGAACATGGGCGTGATGAGGTTGACGGGGCCGAGCAAGGCGGTACCTCTAAAAATTGAGGCTCTAACCTACGCTTGGGCGGAGACACAAACCAATATTGACTAAGCAACTCTTCACCAGAGTCAAACTCAGTTGAGAGTTGCTTAGTTATTTTTTGCAATTTAAGAAATTTATCTCTCACGTTATTATACATACGTGAGAAATTAAATTGTGTGCCAATGCATACAGGGCATGACCACTTCAAACCACCACAGCCTTTTTTAGGTGAGTAGATTCTGTTGAGGTCACGACCATTTAATCCAGCACATTTAATATGCATAAAATTCTCACACAACCAACAGCTAACAAACCGAAGTTGATCGGAATCAATTGCATCTTTAAATGTGCAAGACTTGTTGCAGCACGACATTATGGGCGGAATAAATACGAGTGTGAATGATTTAAATATGTGAGTTAGCGCAAAGCGTAAGAAAAACGGTATAAGCACAAACAGAGAAAAACAAGTAAAAAAGCTAAAGTCGGGTGTCCCGACTTTGAAATACTCTGTACATATGTTTACAATAATTATAGAAAATAAAAAAAATTAAGAAAATAAAAAAAAAATTTGATCGATTTTACCTCTCTCGGTATTCGAACTCACGTAAAGGGTGTATAATTGCACATTTACATAGCAATTGCGTCTGTGTGAGTGTATGTATGCCTATGCGCATCAATTCGTGTCTGTGTAAGCATTTTCGCAGTCAACCAAACAGCAACATCAACAACAGCCGCGGGCAGCGCTTGAGCAGCGCTGCAGCAGCGCTGCAGCAGCGCTGCATCAGCAAATATATTTATGGCTATAACTTCTTGTTAAATCGGTCTATCATAATGAAATTTGG